AGCTGACTCAGCAGGGTGGCCTGTGCTGAGGCAGTGTTACTGAGTGCTTCAGAACCCAGGCTTTGGAGTGAGATCAGCCAAACCCGGGTTCCAGTTTCCAGTTCCCTATCATTCCTTCTCTGAGGATTTATTCAGTATCTCCTCTGTGCCAGCATGGCCCCAGGCATTGGGCATATTGGGAGTGCAAGGTCCTTGACTTCATGGAGCTCAGCGAGAAGAAATACTCTGTAAACACCTAAGCAAACACGTAAGTAAGCAACTTCCAGGATATGGAAAGGTTCTATGGAAAGGGTTCAACAGGGTCGATGGATAATGGCTTGTGTGGGGTAGGTGGTATTTGAGCCCAGCTTCTAATGATGAGAGTTAATCGGACAGATATTCAAGGATGTAGGGAAGAGTACTCCAGGCAGGGGAGGGGCTTGTGCAAATGTCCTGAGGCAGGAATGAGCTTGGCCTTATGGTTGAAACATAGTGATGAGTTTGGGGAGGAGAGAGGAACTGACAAAGGCGGCCACTTGCCAGATCCCATAGGGTCCCAGGCCATGATAAGGAGCTTGAATTTCATTTTAATTACCAAAGAACCCAAGAGGTTAATGGAATACTGCATGTAAATATCCATACGGTGCCTGGCACATGTACTGGGTCCCCTACATGTTAGCTGTTGGTGTCCTCATTTATTTACAATTACTTTTTATTTGAGGATTTATTCCCCAGACTTCTGGTGCATCCACCATGAATCTCAAAGGTTGCCTTTCCTCTCCAGTCATAAATGACCTCAGGCAAAGTTACAGCTCAAAGAACCATGAAGAGATGGCATGAGGCAAACGCCTAGAGATGGAGTCACATCACAGCTCATTGCTGCCAGCAATGAGAGGCCCATTAAATCTGCCTGCAGTATATAAGTCAGTTCTTTTGGATACCAGGTTCTTTGGAAAATTTGGTTTACCCCAAATCCTTCTACTAGCTAAGCCGGTCAAGTGGAGGTAAAACAGGGCCTCAGCAGAAGGGACCCTGACTCAGAAATCTACAAGGAGTGAGGAAGTGGGGTAGCTGAGTCCCCCCAGCTCTGGCCCCCAGCTGTCATTCAAAACTCAGTAAATGCCCACTGCCAGTAATCTACAGCCCCCCGGGCCTGGATGACATGTGTAAATATCTCTCCTCCATGTGGTATCCAAAGACTGAGTCAATAAGCTTAGTTTCCTGTGGATTCCACTGTTTGGTTGTTGCAGCCTAGAAAATTGATCAGATAAAGGCTGTGTCTTCAGAGAGGACAGTTTGTGTTCGGAGTAGTGGACCACGGCGGCAGTGTGATCAGGTGGGGTCTTGCCTAATCCCCCTTGGCACTTGTAGTCTGTTGGGGCCTGACCCAGGGATGGCTGCAACCTCCTAATCCTCTTCTGGAAACCTGGCCGATCGTCTTCACATTCTTGTTGGCCCCGTGTCCACAAGATCTTGATTTAATCCAGGGGTTAGAATCAGCAGAGTAAAATCGGGGCCAGATCTTCTGATGTGAATCCAGAGCACCTGGATATATAATGTTCAAGGGCCCTGGCCTTGGATGCATACCTGGGACCCACTAGCAGGTTAATGACCTCGCTGAGCTTCTGTTTCCTAACTTAGGAATCGTTCTGTGTCTACCTCATTGGGTTCACTTTTTCACCAGAATGTATTAAGCACCTATTATGTGTCAGGTCCTGGGCTATGGCACTGGAGGAAACGCAGTGGAAATCATATCTTGGTTTTCATGAAATACCAGATGTCCTGGTGGAGAGGTGGGCTCAAATCAGCTAATAAGGAAACCAAGGCTGCAACCAGGACCCGCTGTGACTGGGTGCTGGGAAAGAGCAGAACAGGTCTGGAGTTGAGGGAGGTCCTGCATGTGATAAGCGCTTGGGAAGGGCTCTCCAGGGGCTGGCATTTGAGCTGAGGTGCAAAGGATGAGGGTGGAGGAAGAGCAGGATGTGCAGGTGCCCAGGGTGACAAAGGCACAGGACCAGCAGTGGGTGGAGATCGAGGTAGCTGAAGGGAGGGGACTGAAGGAAAGAGGCATGAATCTGCCTCCCTCCTTCTCCCTTTGTCCCCCACCCCTCAGCAGATATTCTCAGCACAGCTTCTGGAGCTGCCCTTTTAAATCATAAGTCAGATGAGGTCATGCCTCTGCAGAAAGCCTACCAGTGGCTCTCGTGCCACTTGGAGTATAAGCCAGATTCATCCTTGGCCAGGCTGCCACTAACCTCTGGACCTCGTTACCACTGCCTCCTCCTCACTCACACCTGCTGGCACATCACACCAGGACTGAACTTTTTTCTTTGGCTAAGCTTCCAAGTATCAGATTGTCAATTATAGAATACAAGCCTTCCCTTTTTGCTTTGGCCACCAGGAAGCCCAGTGCCTCCTCTGATGTCACTCATAATCATTCCATTAGCTTTGGTTTCTAAACTTTCCCCTCCTTCAGTGTGGTTGTTGATTTTCTGTCTCTAGTGCAGTGGTTTTTCTGGCTTCTGTGTCTTTCATTGCAGGTCTGCCTTTTGTGGAATGGGTGGGTATAAATTGTAAGTTGGTTTCCACATGCTGTGCTAACTTAATTTTGTGTCCATCTCCCCACCTAGTACGGGTTCTTTTGGAAAGCAGACACTGTTGATGCTGTTCATGGAGAAGCAATTGGTGGAGGTGGGGGGGCGATGAGAAGGGAACCACTGGCACCATCTTACAGTTCATGTTCTGTGATCTAGAATCCAGTAGCTTCTATGGGGCTCTGAAAATGACACGCTTCTCTATGTCACCAGGGTGCTGTTGTGTGGGGTGATGGGTGGGTCTGGGGTACTCCTGGAGTCAGAGCCTCATCAGGCTGCTTGCTAAAGAGCGGGGAGCCGGGTGGATGCTCCAGGACCACGATTCATTACCCCAGGGCCTGTCGCTGCAGAACTTTTCCCCAGTTCTCTCGATCCAAGGGTCACAGAGAGCTCCCGAAATGGTTTCTGGAGAAGGGTTAACTTGAGAAGTCAAAACTAGTAACTAGTGAGTCAACAAGTTTGGTTTGACCTGGGGAATGTTTTCAAACAATTGGGTTTTCATGTTCTTTTGGCTGAACAAACCCTTTCCCGCGCTCCCGACCCTCCCAGGGTGGATTGACTGATAACCGATGACTATGACTCAGTGATGTGCCCTGTCTGGGGCTGCATTTCGAATCTCTGGACAGAATAGAAGTAAAAGACAACCCACCCTTAACCCTGCCCCCTCAATCCCACTCTCCCCCCAGCAGAGCTCTGGGGGTCAGCAGTTTGGGGTGGATCCTCCCAGGAGTTCACACTTTCCCGTTGGGGACACTGAGGCTTAGAGAGGCTAAGAAGCGAGCTGATTGATCAGGCCCTCACGGTGGTTGCTCCACGTCTTGGCAAAATTCGTCCCTAGGGCCATAGTGGACTTTTTTTTCAACTTTTTTTTCCCCTTGTGGTTTAATTTTTTTTTCCCTTCCTGAAAAGAAACCTTTTTTAGCCTAACGACAGCAACAGCTTTAGAGCAACGCGACGAGAACGCCGCGCTGAAGAAGGAAAGAATTCACCCACAGCCCCGCCTGCCCGGCCGGAAATCGAGCGGCGTACGTGGGACTGGGCGGTCCTGTCCACACCCGTGGTTCATCTTTATGTGTTTGTGAGCACAGGGAATGTTCCCTTCCATGGAGCCCCGCATGCCATCGTAGCCAGCAGCAAAGGGGAGCCTTGTCTGCTGGGCCGCTGGCCGCGAAGGTGGTGGCTGGAGGCCCAGTTGTGAGGGAGGTCTTGTTGGGTGGTGTCAGGCCTCACTGTGTCCTCTCTCCCTGCTCCTGGCCACCCCCGCCCCAGCCCCGCAGCCAGGGGCCCGGAGGCTGGTGGACCAGCCCAGCCTCCTGCTTCCTGCCCTCACAAGCCGGCCTCTGTGGGGTTGCCAGGCGCCAGGGCAGGGGCTGGGACGTGGAACAGCAGATTTTTGTCTGGTCCTGATGCTGGCAGGCAGCCCAGGCCAGCCTTGCGAACATCACCAGACCAGGTACCTGGGGGCAGACCTGGCAGACAGGAGCGCCTTTGAGCTGGAGCGAGGCTGTCTGGGAGCCGACGGGGCAGGGCCTCTGTGGCCACAGCCCTCTCCCCTAGCGGAGACCGCTCGGCCCCTGCCTGTGGGCTTTCTCCCAGAGGACCTGGTCCTTCGGGAAGGGCCTCGAGCTTCCACTTGACACCCAGCCGTCCTTTCAGCTATGGATACCCCCAGCAACATCCCTGAGCCATGAGGGTGTACGTTAAATCCCAGAGCTTGCTGGAGAAGCAGTGATGAGTATCAGCTTTGAGCCAGACTTCCGGGATTTACTTCTTCCCCCCGCCCCTCCCTGTGCAAGTTACTTTTATTCTCTCTGTGCTTTGGTTTCCTCATCTGCAAAATGAGATCTTCATAGGGTTGTGGTGAGGAATAAATAGTAAACACACACATACATGCACACACACAAATGAGTGGAAGGGAAATGTGAAAACTAAATGAGGTCTGTGGCCTGGTAAGCGGCACTGGACTGAGGGCCACTGTCTGGCCCTGACATTGCACTGCCGTTACATAGGATGTCACCACGGCAGGGTGGGGAGGGGAGCTGGGCCAAGGAACACGGAACTCCCTGTACCATCTTGGCAACTTCCTGTGCATTTATAGTTATTTATTTTAAGAAGCTGAAGAAGAAAGAAAAATGTGTTAATGTATGTAAGGCTTTAGGACAAGGCTTGGTGAACCTCATGAGAATGAGCTGTGATGAGGAGGAGGAGAATTCGAGGGTGTTTTGTTCCATCCTTCATGGTGCCGTGCCACGAGGGATCCTGCAGGTCAAGTGGAGCTTCTGGCCTCCAGGCTACCTCCCCCTGACCTCTGCCTGGACCACCCCCCGCAAGGCTGTAAAGCAGTTGTTCTCAAAACACGGTCCTGGATGGACAAGCTGCGTGGGCATCACTGGGAACATGAGACAAATGCAGATCGTCTCGCCGCACCCCCGATCTCCTGAATTAGAAGGTGAGGGGTCGGGTAGGGTGATCCGCAGTGTAGCAAACCCTCCAGGGGGCCCTGAGGAGCCTGCTGTAGCCCCGTGCGTCTCACACTTTAACGCAGATCACCTGGGCTCTTGTTCAGCCGACCTGGGGCGGGGCCTGGGAGTCTGCATTTCCAGCTGGCCCCCAGGTGATGCGGATGCTGCTGGGATTCGGGAGGCTGGTCCACACCTCCTTTCCACTACCTGGGCAGTAGGAGCTTGGCTATTTGTTGTTGTGGGTGAAACAAGGGGTGGATTTGCAGGGGCCAACTTCCTTTACTGAAGGGCGGTCCTTCTTTGGAGCACAGGGAGGGTGGGCAGTGAGAACCCGTCTTCATCAGCTGCTGCTGGAAAAGGGATGATTGTAAGGTGGGGAGGGGAGAGGCAGTCCATAGGCAGCCTAGGCAGGCAGACAGCACGCTCTGCCTGGCCCCCTTTTTATCCTAATAGTGTCTGGGCAGGGAGCCATGGGACATGGCCCCTGAAAGGGACATTCTTTGTCTAATCTTGGAGCAGGCCTCTCTCTTCCTTTCCCTATTATTGCATGTATTTATTTCACAAACATTTACTGAACCTGAGTGGGAGCAAAGACACGCCCGTGGGCAAAATAGATTCATACCCTGCCCTTGGACAGTGTCACCGCCTGCCTGTCTGGGGACAGATGTCTGTCACTGAATAGGACAGGGATAATGCAGTGAGATGAAGGCTGCTCAGCTGTGGCACATGACCCAGGAGGCTCAGCAGAATTTCCCTGGGGAAGTGACATTTAAGGTGAAAGAAGGAAGTGTAGATTTATTATGTATTAACTGAGGAAGTGGAAGCAGCATGTGCAAAGGTCCTGGTCTGAGTGGGAACTCGTTCCAACTCATAATGACTGGAGAGAAAGCTAAGAAGCAGGAGAGAGCTGGAAGGGTGGGGCGGGGGCAGTGCCCAGCAGGGCTCTGCAGGCTGCAGTCAGAACTTGATCTTTGTCCCAAGAAGAATAGGGAGAAATGGAAGGACTTTGAGTGAAGGAGTAGCATCCGATTTGTCTTTCAGAGGACGGTTCTGGCTGCCGGGTAGAGAAGGGATGAATGGATGGGCGAGGTGCTTGCAGGGGCTCAGGAATCTGCAGCTCTTGTCTAGGTGCAGGTGGTGGTGGAGCTGGAGAGAGGTGGATGGAGCCAAGGGAGATCTAGGACTGGGCGAAGGGTCGGAACGGGGATGTGAGGAAGAGGAAGGTGTTCGGAAAGTGTCCAGAGATTCAGTTCAGTTCTAGTTCATTCCTAAAGGCAGGTCCTGGAAGTCTCCATCTGAGTCCATCTTTACAGGGGAGATGTTCTCCCTCCACCAGCTTCCAAGCCCAGCTGCCTTTGAGCTCACATGAACTTTCTCCCTGCCATACCTGCTCCCTGGGGCCCCCTCACCTATGCTTCTGTGACCTGTGCATTCTACCTTCTCTCTTCCTAGCCTCCGTAAGCATCCGTCTAAAGGTTACATTCAGATGCTAAAAGAAGCACAGGTTTTGCCACCTCTAACACCCAAGCCACAAACCCACAGCTTAACTCCATACCCCTTAATCTTCTTGACTGCTGCGGCTCATCCCCAAAAAAGGAGCATTAAACCATTTGGGATGAGAAATGCTTCCAAAGAATTCCTTTGAAGGGAGAGGAATGAGAGGCAGGTTGAGTGGCGGGGATGTTTACTGCGCTATCCACTGAAATCTTCAGGGGCTGGAGAAATAGGTTCTCAGAAAAGTTGACCTCTTCACAGAGCAGAACACAAGCGGTGTGCCCTCGTAGCAGCCGTGTCTTTCAGTGAAACCGAGTGGTGTCTGCTC